AAAAACTGAAGAGTCCCTGCCCGAAGGGCTACCAGGGATTTTGAAATTTTGCGAGCCCTGCAATTTGTTATGTATATAAAGCACGCGTGTCCACAAAATCAGTTTCTTCCATTCCAACCTTCCCACTATCATGGGCAACAACAAAGAGCTGTCAAAGGAAATCAGTGAGAAGACTGTAGACCTGCGCTAAGGCTACAGTGGGTCACAAGACCATCAGCAAGAAGCTTGGTGAAAAGGTGACAACTGCTGATGCAATTATTTGGAAATGGAAGACTATAAAATGACCATCGGTCACCCTCAAGCTCAATGCAAGATCTTGCCTGGTGAGAATGATAATGACAAAGGTGCTGAATCAGCCCAAAGCTACATGGGAGGACCTTGTTAATGATCGGAAGACATTTGACACCACAGTTACCAAGAACACCATTGGTAAGACACTAGATTGTAATTGAAATACTGCAGCACCCACAAGACACACGGATTACCTGTCTATTGGGTACCATAAGATTTTGGACGACAACCTCCTTCCCTCAGCCAAAACACATGGATGGATCTTCTAGCATAACAATGACCCAAAGCATATCACAACAAAGGAGTTGCTAAAGAAGAAGCACATTAAGATCATGGAGTGACCACACCAGTCACCAGACTTCAATTATTTAAAAAAAAATCTATGGAGAGATCATAGCTTCAAATTGCCGAGGAGCAGTTGAAAAACCGTAAAGATTCAGAGAGTTTTGTAAATATGTGCAAACAGAAAAAATGTGTGAATTTTTTCTGGATTTTTCTCTCCATTAAAATTCAGCTACCATGGAAATGTTAAGACTGTTCATTTCTTTATGATTAAGAAAATTTATAAATTCAGCAAAAGATTGATTAACTGTTTCACCAACTGTATTAATTTAACAGAGATTGACATTAGCATGAAATTGGAGGATGGGATGTATGCAATGTGACCCAATAAATGTAAATACAGTGTTAGAAAGCTCCTAATGACAATCCTGTTTGAGAAGATGGTGTATTGGTGAATTTATTTGATTTGAATTGCTCTTATATTATGTAACACCCGTCCCACGTTCTATTGAGAGGGGCCCTGGGTTCCTGTTGTTACTTTCCTATTGATACTCCCTTTTTAATGCTTATGGTATAAAATATGCAATAAAACTACACTATATGGAAATAAATCACACACAAGCAGGTCAATTATAAAGTTAACTCCACTTTAGTGAATGCTTAATTAACAACACAAAAGAAAATAAGTAAAATCAATAAAGTTTGTTAAACAATGGTAAGGTATCTACCTCAACAGAAACAAAATAATCAAATAATATTGTGGGCCCACACACACTCTCACCAAACACACACACACCTCAAGTGCTACAGTCTTTCTGCTAGCAAACCCCTCGTTGCAGGCCTGAGTCGTGGCTCGGGTGCGTTGGGACCTAAATCTATATGGTCGCTTCACTTGTTGCCAAGCAGTAAACTAAAAGCCCGTGCAAACAACAGTACTCACACCTCCAGGCAGTTCAAGGGGATAGCGGGGAAACTGGGTCACGGCTACCAGCAGGCCGCGGCAGCAGCACTCACGGTCGTCCTTTCCACGTGCTCCCACGTGAACACATAACTTCAGCACACCAGCAGAAGGGACCTCTCTGACAAGCCAGCAAGACGTCCGTCCCCTCCTACTGTATCACACAACCCCGCTAAATGCCAGTTCACATGCGATAA